GTTATTTTGGTTAGCTTTTCATTTACGTTTTGGTTTCCTCGAATAAACATACTGATTATGACATGTCAACTATATCGAATCTTTATCCACAAAACTTAACTAACATGATTATCCGTTGACAACATAGAAAAACTAACATGATTATCTCTTAAAGTTAACATATAATTACATTGACGATGATGTTAGCATTTTTTCAGACTGCGGTAATTATTTTAAAGTTGGAGAATTGTGTTTTTACCCGAAATCGTCACTACGGAAACGAACATGACCACCACCGTATGGAGACGACGCTTCGCTGCCGCCGCCGCCTTCACTTTTCCGACGGACTTTCCTCCCTTCTTCTTTTTCTGTTCCCTCCGTTATCGCCGGCTTGTGCTCCGAGATCACGCCTAAGGACGGTCTCCACTCCGCCACGTGTCCCGGTTGACCCGAAACCCTAACGCGTTTTCGCCGCCTTGGCTGTTTCATTAGCGACTGCGTTTCGTTGGAAATCGAATCATCGGCGGTTTGGTGGTGAAACTGTTGCTGTGAACCAAAACAAGGAACCACAAGCTCCAACAAGAATTTCATATCCTGCACACCACGCCACGCCACGCCACGATCCTATAATAATCACTTTTCTTTTTCTAATTTCTTTTCTAGTTTTAATCTAATTTCTTTTTTTTTTCTAATCCTGCAAAAGGGCTAATATAAATATTTTAAGATGTTTACAAGAGATCGTAATTGGACATCCGAAACAAGAGAGGCGAATTTATAGGAGCGAGTCGAGATTCTGGACGTTATTACGACTCATTTCAATACGTGGACAACGGACAATGTGACATTATTACGAAACTGTCCTTGACTACTTATCTTTAATTTGTAGTTATCATTCATTTGCAATTGTACCAAATTTTATTGGTAACCTATTTGGCGTACACTCATTATTACCATATTTACAAATTTACTACTTAGAGAGAAAATATTTACTATAAGAACTAAGAAGTTAAAGTTACCAATCACACAGGCACATGTTTGAAAATTTTAAATGCAATTTAAAAATAAACCACTCTATACTTATAGCATCATTAAACTTAACACCACTAAAAGTTCTTAAGTAATTTTTTAATATTAAAAATATTTGACACTTTTAAAACTCCATTTCATTAAGTTCTACCTATAAAACCTTTTCATCAAAAATTCATTAAATTAAATGATTTTTAATCATTTTTAGTGTAAAACACTCTTAGAAAGATCACCATTAATAATGTCCTTATGGTTTTTAATCGGTTCTGCTGGTAGAGTCATATAAATACTTTATTTAATCATTTTCTTTTGCCAACAATTACTTTATTAATTAGTTAGCTTGTGGAGTCATGTTCATATTGGGTTTAATTTGTGAATAAAAATAAAAAAGTATAACTAGAATATGGTTTAGAGTCCCGTCTACATATCACGTAATCTGAATTCATAGAAACATTTTTAGCGTGAGTCTTTTTCAAAAGTAGAATCGTATTGTCGACATGAATCACTTTAGTTTCCGTAACTGGAACTTCGATTTTGCACAAATTTTATATAAATAAAAAACCTCCTATTTTTGTTTTTTTTTTTGTGAAAATTGGAACTTCTGTTCTTAGTATACAAAAAATGCATTTTGTTTTTATTGAGAATAATTGCGGACCACTTATTAATATTTGTCGACATATTTTTCTAGTCAGAAACTAATTAATTTTGTATTTACAGGATAGTGGTGATCCATTCATGTCTTTCACCGAAAATTGGAATAATCTCCTTTGAGGAGAACTCTGTATTATCATCTCACTATAAAGGCTATACAGTTATATAACAACCCGGATTTCCCAATATACGCTCACCGAATATCTACCACTAACTAAACAAATGATTTAGGAATATTCTTTATTCTATTA